CCCCCTAAATTTTGGACACGACCATACTCAATGACGATTCCGATTTTCAGTAAATTTTGTGAAACGCAAACTATATATATTTCCCCTATTACTTATGTAGAGACACAGTATTGTCAACTAAGCATTTACTGCATGTGTGGTACAGTGCTGTCATATCCACCAACTTTTTGGTCCAACCAACCAAAAGGTCTACCAATTTTCACTTCAGTCTACCTATCTACCACCTAGACCTAAAAACTAACCTAGACCTAAAAACTACCTATTTTTTTAATTAGTTTGACATATCAACACTTTGAATTATTTTTATATCGACGAGCGACGTTGCGATGTATTGCGTGGGCCATGCAACGATGCGTCGAGTTCGGCGTTCGCACAATTTCGCGCCCATATTTTACTATTCCTACTGTGGCCTATTCCCGGTTGGTTTGTTGCGGAATCAATGTTGAATCTTTGCTCCTGTTTTATTGTAAAAACTAATTAACTGCGTATTAACGGTGCTGATTGCTGTTTGTTCTATGTTGCGTGCATTTATTTATATAATCGATTCTGACAGCAGCGAAAGCGATGCACATAGTTCTAGGTTAGGAACTCCGCCACGAAAACCTAGAAAAAGGCGGCACTATGTCCAAAAATATTCGAAATTATGTGAGAAAGACAAGGAATTTACAGGTTGGCTTCAAGAAATTACTAAGGGATATTTTTATTGCAAATCATGTAGGTGTGATCTGAAGTGTGCTCTGCATTGCATTGCATGCATTTTTAATCTTAAAAAATCTTCTAAATTGAGTTGGTAGATCTACCAATTTTGCATTGTACATTCTACCAACTTCTACCAACATTTGGCACATAATCTACTAATTTTCTAAAATTCGGGTTGGCAGCACTGGTGTGGTGCGACCACGAGCGATTGAGCCAGTCGCTCTCCGTAGTACCCTTAGTTCGCACGTATACATTTTTGTATCTAGGATAAGTTGTATAAGGGTTGTGTAATATTCCGTGTTCAGTGAGAAATAAACTACAGTGCTCCTTCCAACTATATTTACTTTATTATTTGACATAGAAAGATGCTTATACTTACATGACTTAGCAAGTAGTATATATGTGTAAATAGTATTATATTTTAAACAAAGCCTTTCCTAAAATGAATGAAAAAAAGAAATATAGATAAGTCTGAAAAAAAATGACTACACCCCACCTGATGTCAGTTGAAGGTAGAGTCCAGACGCGAGGATAGTTGGTACAGCAGTTCTACCTGCCATACCAACCATCCTTACCCTGGCGGCCTGCATGTTGCTTCTTCACGCCTCTTTTAAAGGATCCCAAGGTTGTAGGAGGGAGAGAACACGTGAGCAGGTAGAGCATTCTATTTGCGGATAATGCATAAAAATTAGTCAGTACTATTTTTTTTGTGACCGGCCACTGCCAGAGCTAGTCGGTGATAAAGTAGGCCAGTGCGCGTGGTCCTCTGAACACTGTTCATGTTATAGACGATAGATTGCCCTTAATGACGCCCCGTTACAGTGTAATTGAAGAGGCTCGATGTGTTTAATCACCTCCTCATCGTCTATGATGCGGATCGCGCGCCGCTGTACTATCCAAAGCATCGAGCAAGTACATGACGAAGCCATGAGCCAAAGTTTGGACTGGTAAAGTTCGAAAGAGCAAGGCATCTCAACAGTATACTGAAGGAATGGGTAAAAACTCCGCTCATAGATGCGGCATGCGACAAAATAATACCCGCCTTCATATTTGACAAAAAGTGCAGAATACATCTACTGGATGACAACGATCCAAAGGTCATCCTCAAAACCAAAAGTCAAAACCTCATCGGGCACGGGCGCGGTGTTTTCTTTGAGGACCTCAATATACACATCGCTTTCCCCTTAAGCCCGTACAACACAGTTTTCCAAGCTGAATGTATGGGCATCACACAGGCGGCAAGAGCGATCCTTTCAAGAAAGGTAACAGGACAGGAAATACGAATACTGTCCGACAGCAAATCAGTCCTACAAGCTCTAGATGCCTGTTTAGTCAAATCGAGTCTCCTACAAGAATACCACCAAACCTTAAACACGGTAGGGTCAAGCAATTCTATTACCATCTAATGGATCAAGGAACACAGTGGATCACACGGAAACGACGCTGTGGATGAGCTGGCCCGAAAGGGATCCGATACGACCCCAACAGGTCCCGAACCAATCGTCCCAATACCGGTAAGCACACACCTGCACTACACCAGCAACACTGGCTTGACCTGTAGACGTGCAGGCAGACCAAGCTCGCTTTGCCACGGGTGAACGGTGCCTTCTCCAAAACTCTCCTACAGCTAAGCAAACCTACATTGCGCATGGTAACAGGTGCTATTACTGGACATGCACATTTTAACAGACATCTTTTCAACTTAGGTGTCACAGACAGCCCCCTATGCAGAGGATGCATGGAGGCAGAAGAAACAGCTACTCCCGTTCTGCTAGAATGCAACGGAGTGGCCGAATACCGGGCTAAATACCTCGGCTCACCGAGAAACCTTTAAGAGGCAGTCACCAATGTGAAGGCTCTGGGGGCGTTCCTGGCGGAGATGGACTGGCTGGAGTGATTCCGGATGATGCTCAGATACTCGATGATCTGGATAAATTTCGGGCTGACGTCCTTCTCTGCGTTGCAAATACTCGCGAAACATCCTTGCGGCAAGTGAAGCTTTTCCACGCGCGTACCCGTAGATATAATGCATTTGCGCATAATCTTGCGATGAAAATTCGTTATCTCGAGGCATGATATCACTCACCAACAACCTTAATATGAAGCTCAATCGAGAGTCCTCGACATACGAGTAATCACTTCCTTATTTCAGCGTAGAATAAAAATACCTGAGCAGAAGGATAACAGGCGTTTTGAGTGATTAGTTGTCATAAAATGATTATTTTTATTTTGTAATGAGCTCCAATTAAACTTAAAGGAACAATTTAACTTAAGATTGTCAAAAAATGCAAAGATACTACGAAATTATAAAATATTAAAATTACACGATTTCCGATACAACACATTCAACTACAGATTTCAGCAAATAATGCCCAATTTAGTGTCTTTTTTTGTATTTTTATGAAAGCCGTTCCGGGAGCCGCCAATCCTGAAAGCTCCGTGATCACGGATTCTAATATTTTTAATAAAAAATAAAATTTAACTCTAAAGAAAAGTTAACTAGAAAAAAATCCACGCGGACCAGGCAGCGGACGGGACTCGAACCCGCATCCTTCGCTTATAGCGAAACATCTAGCAGTTAAATGCTAAAAAAATAAATAAAATCATAAAAGTTAACGTTTAGACGAACATGATTTGCTTGGTTTGCGTGGATTTGATTGGCCGTAAATATTTTAATTAAATTATTCATTATTAAATTTTCATATTTCTTTTCCGTCATCACGGATTTTGATCAATCTTATATAGAATTTTGTGTGAAATATTATGTTCAACAAGAAAAAATCCGGCCGACCAATAATTTTTAGCCGGAAAGGTCACGCATACCTATTTGAATGGTGTGATAAGGGATGAAATTTATCCATTATCACGGAAACCTTTATTATTATTTTTAATTCACGCGTTTTAATGTCACATTTATAATTATCTTGGTATGCGTGCTTATAAACTGCCGAAAGTATCGCGCATACCAAATTTTAACTCTTCGCTTTTTAACGGTTTCCATATTTCTGTAAAGTGTGAGTGAGGCAGATTTTTGGTTCAAGTTGAAACCTTGCATGAGTTCGTCTCTTTCTATTCCCTACGAATTTAACATTTACCTGCCTCAAAGATACACAATTCCGTAAAGTGAGGTTGTTCTACGACAGGGCTGCATAGTGTTAACTCTCTTACTCCGGTTTCTTTTCAAGTCCATAGGACTGCTCCAAGAGTAAGTGAGATAAGAGTAACATCGAATTTATGTTAAAGTTCCATAGTTCTCCTCATGTCCTACAGCATTTTGGGGGTTCAGATCATTTCGAAATTTCAATATAAAGTGTTTTGTGTGTGTGTTAAACTTGAATTGGACATATTTTTTGTATCAACCTTCATTTATTATATAATCAACCCAAATATTTTTTTTCCTGTATTCCCTCTTTTCCATACTAATTAGTATAATAAATAGTTAAAAACTTAAGGAAGAGACCAGAGGTAGAAGAGAGACTAAAAGAAATGTCATCAAGTAATTGAAATCTATAACAGTATAATCCTCACTCACACAATAATATTTGGTATGATAAATTTCACCCCTTATCACACCATTCAAATAGGTATGCGTGACCTTTCCGGCTAAAAATCATTGGTCGGCCGGATTTTTTCTTGTTGAACATAATATTTCACACAAAATTCTATATAAGATTGATCAAAATCTATGATGATGGAAAAAAAATATGGAAATTTAATAATGAATAATTTAATTAAAATATTTACGGCCAATCAAATCCACGCAAACCAAGCAAATCATGTTCGTCTAAACGTTAACTTTTATTTTTTATTAAAAATATTAGAATCCGTGATCACGGAGCTTTCAGGATTGGTGCCTCCTCGCCTATATGTAGTCGGGCAGTTTTTGAAATCAGTCAGAAATTATGGAACATCTATTTTCATTTTTTTTATTTCAATTGAAAATCTCTCAATCTGTTTTACTTAATTCATTTTTATTTAGTATCGATATTTTTTTTATATCTTAGGTTACACTACAAGCAATAGGCATTCTGTGAAAAAAAATCTAAGAAAAATTGACCCAGAAAGAAGTTATACTTTTTTAAAGTTGTCTTATCGCTGCAATTAAAAAATAACAAAAAAAAATCTAACTTGAAAACTACGCAAAATCGTAGAACATACATGGGGGTTAAACAGATAGGTATGGTACTCCGCTATCAGCTCGTACTGGTTTGATACCCTAGGAGAAACACCCTGTATATTAATAATGTAATGAAAAACAAAATGCCATGTTCAAATTATATTTCGAGGAAATTTCCAATTTTTTATCGTGGAATCCCGTAGTCTTCAGGATTTCTTCTGTCAATTATTACATACGAATAGTCCCCTTCAGCGTTGTCTATGGTGCCGTATACATGTTCACCTAATTCTATGCCGTTGTTGGTTTCATCCACAGACCGTGGCGGGACTTCCGGTAAAGGTCTGTTTATCGTATTATTCAGTGTTGTGCCTCTACATCTTCTACGGCAACCGAAGTAAAGTGACAATGCTCCGATGCAAACGGATCCCAGTACAGCAGATACGTATCCGATAACGATGAGGGCGCTACCTGAAAAAAATAATACTTGTGTTATTTAATATTTTAGACAAATATATACATTATACATTAAGTTACATTAGACTACAGAAAGAGTTTGAAAGGACCATGTGGGCGGGGCAATTATGAGCAGACGCTCATAATGTCATATTTCAAACGTCAGAATGAAAAGTTGCTGCCGTCGTGTAGATACGGAACGCATGCTAAGATTGAGTGTACTGTTGGCGGTTCAGGATAAGTGAAAAAAAAAACTAATTGCGTATAGGAGAGAGATGCGAATGTGTATTGTATACAAGACACACTACGCTTTCCCCGTAAATTTGAAATAACAAAAGGGGAATATCACAAACCTCTTTTTGAAAAAGTATTTTTTATTATCGCACGATAACCAGCTGTTAATGAGTGACATAAAATCAGTAGTTGTCTGTATTCACTAACAAATAATAGTGTCAAATCTAATGTGTATGAATAGTGCCTTGGTGGTTTTTTCGTTAAATGTAAATGAGCTTCACTTACAGTCATAAGTTTATTTCCTTTACAATTTCGTCATAATACATATCACGATCTCTTGAAGCTACGCTTACGCATTTAACAACGTTTCCCTAATTGTATATTTTACCTGAAAATGATGTGTAAGCAATCGCCGTTACTAACAAGAGCATAGCTTGACATCTCGCGTCTCTCTGCGCACGCATACGATGAGTGAAGGAACAGATTAAATGCTACAGCTCGACATGACACAGAGAAAGCGACGTAAGTACAAAATTATAGTTTTACAGATGCTGCTGCCACAATACTCTCTTGCTTGGACTGTTTCACGGCCGTTAGCAGCTTGGAAAATGTAGTATTCTTCCACTGATAGTCTTTCTTATAGTTGGCGTTTCTACGGGCGATGGTAGATTTGTAATCGTTGGAGGTCTCTCCATCCTCCATCGGTGAATCTAAATCTGGAGTGCGCATCACATAAGCTGGCTGAAGTCTATCGATGGTGACTGTAGTCTCTCTGTCGTTGAGGAGTATTTTTACAGTTTTTGCATTTCTATCACGTGATATAACATGTGTATATGGTGATTCGAATATTCTTTTTGCAGGACAACTGCGACGGAAGACATAATCCGCTGAAGTGATGTCCTTGGGTAAGTAAAATAAATTTTTGGTGTGTGATGACGCTGGCGTAGGCGATATCTTCTCTGTGTTGTCGCAGGCGGGTTACAAATTCTGCTGGATCTAAAGTGCTATCAGAGTGTGGATCAATGCATTCACCTGGCAGTCGCAGGGGCTGTTCATAGTCTAATTCCGCAGCAGAGTTTTAGACGTCCTTTTTCAAGGTACTCCTCAAACCCAGGAGTACTATGGAAAAGGTTTCAGTCAGTCCATTGTGTATCGCTGTGGCAGGTAATTGAAGTCTTGAATTGGCGTTGCATTATCTGGATCATGTCGTTGGATTGCTAAAAGATCACTCTGAAGATGCAAATAGAGTGGCTCGACCCATTGCCTCTGCGAAGATAAGGAGTAGGGTTGCAACGATATATCGGAATAACAATAATATCGAGACCAAAATATCGATATTTATATCGATATTTAAAATTCACTGATATCGATATCGGAAATTCCAAAATATCGATATTTCGTAGACTAACTTTGAACACAATAATATCAATTAATTAACCTGCTATGACTATCTAAATTGAATAATATCGAAATAACTTTTGCTTTGAAATCGCAAGAGCTTATAGATGTATTAAAAAAATCTTGAACCCCAAGAAATATACTTAACTGGTGTGGATTCTGGCATGATTCTCTAAACCTAAAATTCAATTTGACAATAGTGTTTCCTTGTCATTCTTTATCCAGAATGAAAAGGAGAGACTGATGTTAAATTTAGTTTAAAGTTTAGATAATCATGCCAGAATCCACACCAACGTATATAGGTATAATCGTATACCTAATGGTAACTCATGCACTTAAATAAAATCCTTGCCTCTCTTTCTAGATAATTGTCAATTGATTAATTGAAATTTAATATCATTGTAATATAACACAAAATAAAATTAAGAATCTTATACAAATCGTAATTTTTTTAAGCTCGCCAAGTCAAGAAAATAAGATAGGTATAGTAATTTTGGAAGCTTTGGGCTTACCCTATTCTGAAGCCATGGGCACGCCCCTGGTATTATTATTAGTAGGCGTATTTGATATGCGCTATAAAACCAACATAGCCTGGAAAAGCACGAATGTAGTGAAAACTTAGCGAAGGCATTCGCAAATGTCGTCCCACATATGCGGGTTGGCGCATTCGTGCTAACGAATGTGAGTGATCTGATCAAGATAATAATTTTATTTTTTTGATTTCCTGTCGTGGCTGAAACACAAATCGTGCGAGCCAATAAAAAAAATCCTGCTTGGCGCGATTTCATCAAGCGTGTTTAACGAAAAAACTGGCTCAATGCATTTTGCGAGAAATTCGCCAACAAACATATGAATGTGTCACACTCACCCCGTATTCTAATGTCAATAAAAAATAAAAAGGAAAAAATATCGATATATCGATAATATCGAGTTAAAATGGTCGATATATCGGATATCGATATTTTCCTGACTTTGATATAAATATCGATATTTCAAAAAACTTTGCATCTAATAAGGAGGATGGTGAATCTACTGCCAGGGATGCCCTACACAGAAGGCTATTCAAACATTAAGTTTGAGTAAAGTCTATACATCAGACGATGTAAATGTTGCCTGTAATATTTTTATTGAGACTGTCAAAATTCAAAAAAAATTCAAAATTCAATATCATTTATTCAGTCTAGGCTGTTACAAGCACTTGTGAATGTCGAAAAGCTACGCCATCGGTTCGCAAATCTACGGCGGGAGACCTTGTACTGAGAAGAACCGGCAAGAAACTCAGCAAGGGCTGTTTTTTTCTCCCTGTATTATATACAGAGTCGTCAATTTGAAAAATGAGTTCAATATGAGATAACCCATGAAGTCACTTTCCATTACAAATGTAAATGATAAAACAATTATGACTATAAAATAAAAAATATAAAAAACAGATTTAAAAAAAAGTTTAGGAATGCCGTGTCCCACTGTTTAGGCATAAAAACAAATGTACCATTAAAGTTAAATACAACGATTAATAGTACCCAATGTAGCAAGAGCAGACTCATCTCCGCTGGCAGCACCCGTTCACGAGCATGACGCATGAAAAATGACGCATGTCAAATTATTTCATAACTTATGTTTTTCCTATAAGCAAATATTAATGAAAAGTAAGAAAAAAGTAAAATGGGTATATAGAGGTGTTAGGACTTGTAGCAAAAAGAAGCGAGAATTGCTGTGGAAATATAGTCTTGTCCAACGGAAGCAAACAAACTGATTCTCAAGAACTATTATCACTTCTAAAAAACATCTATTAGTAAGTCAAAAGCCTGGCAAATAATAAATAAGAATAAAAATCAGTATCCTCAGGAAACGATCCAACATTTACTTAGAGATAGAATGCGAATCTCTGATCCTTTGCATGTAGCCAATATGCTTAACAACCATTTCGTAGACTCTACACTAAATCAAAAAAAATATAATTCTACTTACAAGATTCCTACAAAACTTACCAATTCAATATTTTTGCCTGAAATTACACCAGAAACTGTTAAAAAAACTATAAGATCATTAAAGAATACATCTAGTGTAGGTATTGATAGTATCCCCACTTAATTAATTGAAGAAAGTTTACTCCTTGGCTCCTCCTTTAACATTTCTAATTAATTTAAGTATTAACTGTGGAATATTCCCTGAAATATTTAAAACTTCAATTATTACGCCGTTATTTAAAAAAGGAGACAAGTCGGATATAAAAAACCATAAGCCTATTGCTCAGTTACCAATATTTTCTAAAGTATTTGAAAAAATAATAAATGATATGATATATAATTTCTTTGAAAAATATAATGTGTTGGTAAATGCGCAGTTTGGTTTCCGTAAAAATAGAAATACTCGAAAGGCAATATATAGTTTACTTGATATAATAAAGACCTCTGTGGACAAAAGACAAATGTTTGTGCCATTTTTATGGACATGACCTGTGCTTTTGACCACATTGATCGTAAGTTACTATTGGCCAAACTCTATGCTTATGGGATAAGAGGCGTAGCTCTTAAATTAATAGAGTTGTATTTAAGTAACAGGAAACAATATACTGTTATAACTAAATTCTGCAAAAAAACAAATTTATTAGAGAATTTATGTCTCTATGTAGAGATGTAGAGGCTGGTGTGCCTCAATGTAGTATATTAGGACCTTTGTTCTTTAATGCATTTATAAATGACTTTCCCATTTCTATTGAACATTCCATGATTTTATTTGCTGACGATAGTGCTGGTGTGATTCAATGTAATAATGATAAAGACTATGAAAATGACATTAATAATGCTGTTTAATTAATAATAGAAATAAGAATTTTAGTTCACAAGTTTCCGATAGATGTCGTTAGTACCCAGTTACCTCACGCTATCGGTGTGCTTTGGTCATTTGTATAAGATGTTTATATATTTTGATACTCCCTAGTGTTCTTCTATAGTGATAAATAAAAGGTATAAGTGAGTGTGAGTGTTTAATTGACCAAGTGGTCCAACGAACCGGATAATAGTGAGTAAACTGTAAAGTGCAAACATTAACTTAGTAAATTCAGTGAAGTGTTGGACTTATAATATTTCCCATCAAAAAAGACTTAGAAAAATTTGTGCTATAAAACACTTAGAAAATTTTAGTGATCGTGTCAAAAAGGACTTAGGAATATCTTAACGATTAGTAACTTAGTTTCTGGCAGTGAATTTGGACTTGTGTTTTTACATATAAAATTTAACATGGCGGATAAAAAGATGAAACAATATATTGCACAATTAAAGACGAATTCAACTAAAATTGAGAAGTTATTTACAAACGCAAAAAAATGTGCTAAGGATAAACGAACGAGAGGGTTTTTGGATTCACGTATGGAAATTTTACAG